TATTCTGGCGGGGGGGGGGGGGCCACCATATTAAACAGACCTTCGAATTATGGTCATTGTTATAGGGCACGTCTGGGTCAAATCACGATTGCGCCCGTTCTGGTAGTCTTGATAAGGTGAGCTTGGCTTGAACAATGGCAGGGTTGATGGAAATCTTAGCGCGCCAGCTTGCCAGACCAAGGCAGAAGATTTCCGCGTGTTTGTATGCATTCAGTAACTTCACGTTTTCTTTGCCGTTTGTCTTTGCTGTGTGCAGCGGTTCCTGGATAATATGCACAAGTGCTTCACTAGGGTACTAGTTGGACACAAGCAACTTCTTGTAGACGACCTGGCGTCCCCTGAAGGCAAGGAGATTCCGCTACCACGCTGCCTCTACATCGATGCCTTCTGTAAGAGCATTCGTTGAAACTCTTTCAGGAGCCAATCCAGAACCCGAACGTTCGGAGAAGAAAAGCCTTCATGTAAGCAGCGTGCTAAGTCATGAACCATTCAAGCTGCCCGACTGCAGAACTGCGTGGACGTGGAGTCCCTAGTGGTGAATCTCGAGCTGGATCGCGTGGGCTTCATGAAGAAGATCTCCCCATCAGGCCGCAGATGTCAGAGGAGGGATGTTGGAAAATTCTGTCGCCTTGATATTGTTTTGATAAAATCCGACCAAACTGATAGGGCAAGAGCCTCACGTTGCGGATGCTTTGTCGGGACACCGGGGCACGTGAAGGTTTGTGTCAGGCATATCTTTGCGTGGTGTGTTTCTATTCTCCGATGGCTCGCAGGCTCTTTCTGCTTAGTTGGCAGACCCAATTTTCCCCAGGCTCTGAGGTGAGAACTGGAGGATTCCTGACAAAACAGAAGCTGAAGTAAGACTTACTTGGAGCTTCTGAAAACTATGGGTCCCTTCCGCCTGTCCGTAGGATGAGATGCATGTTGCTGGAGGAATCCTACTAATTATAATCTACCTACCTGTCGTTGTTTTGGGTGACTGGCGACTCTGGTTCTTTGCAGATTCACCATTGGACGCATCTTCTGAAGTAGGTCTGTTCCAGCCAGCGTTCCACAGAGCTGCTAAATCCACTGCACCTATGTATGTATGTATGTAT